GGGTTCACTTTGTTTCTGCAACAACTATCAGGACATAGGTCAACTTCCGTCATACTCCGTAAATTGTTCAAAATCCGAAGAAGATTGACTCACGAGGATCAGACTGGTTTTCGTTATGATCAAGGATGCATTGATCATATCTTCACCCTCCGCCAAATGTTAGAACACCGTCATACTTATCACAAGCCAACAATAGTGTTTCTTGACATAAGTATTGCCTTTGATTCGTTGGACAAGATTGTACTCTGGCATTGTCTACTGAAGAACGGTGTGTCTGGGAAGTTTATTAACATCTTGAAAGCCCTATATGAAAACACCTCAAGCAGAGTGAGGGTATACAACCACCTCTCTCCACTGTTCCATTCAAGCAATGGGGTTAGACAGGGTTACCCAATCCCACCATTTCTCTTCAACTTTGCTGTCGATGACGTTCTGTAAACAGTTCTGATGGATGTAGGTAATGGTGATATGGATCTGTTGCCTGGAGAAACACTTCTCAACTTTGAGCATGCTGATGATATTGTCTTACTGCGCTATGATACCCAGGCCATGCAATCCGCACTTAGTTATCAATTAGTGCCCGTAGGTATGGTAAATGCTTTGCACTTTCCAAGTGCAACGTAATTTTACAAGACTGACAGGACTCTAAACCTGCACTCACTCTGGATGGTGAGCAGATAGAAGTAGTCGAGAAGTTCGTGTATCTGCGCAGCTGCATAAGTGCTGGTGGTTGCTTGAGAAGTGAGATCAATTCACGTATAATGAAAGCCAGAGCGGCTTATGCCAATCTGGGCCACCTTTGGCGCCTTCGTGATGTTAGCCAGGCTGTAAAAGGTCGGATCTACAACGTGTCGGTGAGAGCGATTTTGCTCTATGCTTGTGAAACCTGAACTCTCATTGTCGAGGACGTTAAACGACTCTCTCTGTTTGACCGTCGTCTCTGAAGGATTGCTGACATCCAGTGGCAACACCATGCTAGTAATGTAGAGGTTCGACATTGTGTGTTCGGGCACAACGACGATAATTCGATTGATGCTACCATTTTGGAATATCGACTTTGGTGACTTGGACATGTTCTCCGAATGTCGTCCCAGAGAATTCCACGTCGTGCATTATTTACCGATGCTTGGACTGGTTAGAGAAAGCCGAGAGGTGGTCACTGCATGACATGGTGTGGTATGAAGGTAAGCTGTACGGGACCGGCCTCTGTTGGTCCTTTATGACTTCTTGGTTGGGGTCCTAGAGATGGTACAACACGATGGCTTGAGACGTTATCAAACATGGCTCAGAATAGGAGCCGGTAGAGATCATGCTGTAACTTTCTTCTACCTTATTATCTAAAGTTAACGTAACTTTTTTAACTGAATTTCTGGTTGTATTTTTCATAACGGAACTGGTTCTCCCATTATTATTGGTAGTAGTATCAGTATTTGTGTTAGTACCATTATTTCACTTTTGTACACTAATTTCTGTTCATTTATATTACACTCACCCTTATGTGTTAAAATAAATAAATAAAAGATCAAAATAAATTTATACGGTACATAAACACTGATAGATCTTCCTGATGAGTAAAAAACGTACAGGCAAACACGGAAAGAAATTCATAGTGAAATAAAGTGACGAAAAAGAACATATCAAACTTCTAGATTCAGAAAATAAAAAGCAACTTACACGAAGCTCGCCAAAAAGCATTTCGACAAAATTTTAATTTACTGTTTACTTTTTAACTATAACATTTTAAGAAATCCTTGATAGAGAAAAAACACTGACATACGAATGGCACAGAAATAAGTCATCGGTATTGTGAATAAATAGGAGGAAAATTACAAAATAATAACAAGATGCATTACAGCTGGTCGTAAATATTAATGCAACTAAGGGATACTTCGATCGCGTTAAAAGTGTGTTATTATCCTGAACGATATCTGAAAAGTGTCTGAATCATTGTGCTGCGCCATTCCTAGGGGCTTAATCATAGCATGGTGGTGTGTCGAAAGTAATCATCTTTTAATATGCAATAAGTGTGTCTAGACCATCGAATCCAGTGTTCCAGGACGAAACTAATTATTGAGCAGTGACTTACATTCTACAAAAAACATATAGTCACACTTAAACTGCACAACATTGTCAATGTACGCTAAGAATACTCCTGAAACAGCAGCATTTGAAGATTTTTGACTGGAGAAAATTTATTATATACAGAATACGACTTGCTCTACTAGGTTGTATATCGTCATTAAGGGCTCTAAGTGTATCATGACGGTGTTAACGACATTCAAGATTAGAAGCCACTTCAGTTTTTCATATGCAAAGACTGATTTCGTATTACTGAACTAAAGGCAGTTGATTAACTAGTGATCAACTTTATAGATTCCTTCACTGGCATTACACTTCTTCTCATTGATACTGCGGTTGAGATGCAACATGAAACAAGGATTTTTAAGGAGCCTAGTGAAACCCAGCATTTAAAACTAGGGCATTTTTTTATTATGTAAACGACTTAATGTGTCTTTTTTATCGCATAATGTAAATCCGGTCACTGCTACGCCTTGCTTTTCAGAAGAGGGTTAAAGTTTATAGTTGAGGTAGAAATAATATTTAGCGATAAAGATGGAGATTGAATATGAATGACGCGATCTCACAGGCTACTAAAGGTATGAAAATGGTTTTTGCTTCCCAACTACGTACACTATGGAACGATATCCCTCCCTAGGGCACTTGAGGAAACTGGATTGATGGTGGTCCTAGTGACTTGTGAGCATGACCTCAGAGCACAAGAAAAATTGCCAGAGGTCAGCCACAGTCTTTCTGTGAGAATTTTGTGGAGCGTTAACACTGTAGTTCAAAAGGCCTTACTGCCAGAAACGGAAATTCGTGGGGTAAAGTGGGGTCAGCAAAGTCGTAGAGTCAACGTTTTCTGACCTCTTCCTTCCATCGTGAAAAGGTAGTATCGCTGCAGATGTTGGGTATCCGAGGTAAACATCTTACTGCTCCCAAACCCATGGACAGTCAGCAATACGACTTTGTCCTCGGACCTTGAAATGCTGCCTTGTCATACCGTCCTCCAACCGCTATCCGACATGGCAGAACCTAAAGGAGCAAGTGTCTAAGTCAGTATATCTCGGTTGAGTCATTATGATAGGCAAGCTCAACCACCATGTTGGGGTAACAGCTAGTCGGGAGAGGGTTATAGTTCCCTCGAACTTTCCTAGGCAGTATTCAGCTTAGTTGGCACAAAGTATCTTATTGAAGATTAGTTTATTGACTTTTGAAACGAAAGATATATTCGATAGCTACTGAAACGTGATTGAAATCCAGTCAATAAGTTTTGAAATTTACATATCTTAACAAGTCCACATTATCGGTAGCTGACTGTAAGGAGAGTTGAGTTTATGGTTTGGAAAAAAAATATACCTTGAATACCAGTGGTAGCGTCTCAAACTCTGATGCTTGGTGACAAAGATTCCGATCTTTCAAGTAGCACCAATTTTCTCAAGAAAATAGACATACTTTGCTGACGTGTCAAATAGCACGAAACCTAGGTCAAGGGTTTAAGTCCACCACCTCCAATTAACTAACACAATATAGCTTGTGGCAAGTTCGCACACGTCAACAGATATAATAAAATCATGTAGACAAATAGAAAATTCATGTTAAACAGCATGAACCTATCACTCAAATAGTTAAGACTATGCCAGATGTTAAAAGGCTAATTTTTTTATGAATACCAAAAATCGTGACTTTCCCAATTAAAGATATTGACATTAATTATTTTTATGCTATAAATAACAAAGTACCTCGAAAAGCGCGAAAACCATACAAATTTTGTAGGTCGTTGACAAGAAAGAAAGTCAAAAGTAATGAGTTTATGCTAGTTACAATCGTCCTAATCTAACAGACATCGTTATATCTCTAAATCGATAAACGGACATTAATTAGTAGACTAGTATTTTGGAGTACGTTTCGCTTAAACTTTTCTACAGAAAAGATGAATGTAAGCAGTATGTTACTGTATGCTCATTCAAATAAGCATGAAATTGTATAATGAAGATTTGGTGCTTAAGATGATGAATATTTGATGGTTTAATGATCTTTTTAGGACTGTGATTTGCTATGAGTGGTATTTTTTACAATAACTTAAACTAACACGTTATTCACCGTAGCATGCCTACTGTGTTACTATTAGTTCGACCACATAAGCAATTCTAGTAATTTTAATAGTCAGTTGTTCCGTCATAATACAAAAATACTTTTTTTCAGAAATATTGACTTGATGGTTCAAAAGTGAGGTCTCTGACTCTAGTTTAAACAAACTAAGAAAACCTCCCAGTATTTTGATCTGACAGGAAACATTTTGACGTCGTTACTAAGGAATTTATCAGGACCGAGAGTATACAATTTAGTACTGTAAAGTCGTATGAATATCCTTTTTGGAAGCTTGAAAAAAACACTTATTTTGTAAAGGTACATGACATTTATCTGTACTACCATTCAGTCAGTCATTCACATGCAACGTAGAACTTCAAGCATATGCGCATCGGTCCAAGTTGCCACAACACACTGGCACAGCGAGATAATATTATCAGGAAAATTATCAAGGTATCACAAGTAGTGATAGTATCAGTTGTAGTCGAAGGGATTAGATTTCGAAAAAAGGAAAAGGGTGTAAGAAGATTTCAGGAATCAGGTTCCAAAGGAAGGAAGAGTGTGAATGCACCTGCATGATTGGAAACTATTCTGATCCATGTGACCTCAAAACTCTAACCATTGGTTACGACAACCATGTCTGCCCTAACCATACAGTCCTCATTAATTAACATGGCTAAGTGCAATTGTTGATGACTTCATGGGTTTGATTTAGCCACTGCAATACCATTGACCTATTATTACTACGGTAAATATGCATATATACTGGCTGCCGTAATGATAATAATGATAGTACGAATATATTTTGAAAAAACTAACATTTAAGAAAGAACATCCGGAATCACTCATACCTTAACACGAATCGGGTCAATACCATATGTATCCAGACTGCTGGCAAGGTGTATCAATTCACTAGCAGCTTCAGAAGGTAAAAAATTCCTTCAAGAAAAAACAAAATAAAAATTTACTACAGATATATGTATAAAACCAATAAATTATACAAGCTAGATAGTAAATTATTAGGCGACCAAAAGCATGCATTAAAATACCACTCATTTTGATAAGTAATCGTGAACATTCTTTTGAAATATCAAATACAATGAGCAACTGATAGTTTTCACTTACATGTTTCTAACCACCAGTTAGCCACGAATAGAAAACTAATCCAAATTAACAAGATGATGTAGACATATAGCTATTGTGTATGAGTAGAATTATAATGTCTTTACGAAAATAGAACAATTAATTATCACATTAAAAGATAAGCTGGCTGGTGGGAAGACAGACGTATCAGATGTGACAACTTGAAAGTGTAAACGCGTAGAATGAAATTGCAGAAACGTATGAATAACAGATTGATTTTATACATGACATGGATGAATTGAAACAATTAAATACAAAAGGAATTAAATCATTCGCCAAATGCTTTGAGTATGAACCACACCCTAAGTGTCAGGGTTTATAATGCTACCCTGTTGCCCGAACCGAAGTAGATATAAAGGGACTAGAGGCTGCTACCTAGTGGTTGAAAGTCCAACACTTAAACCACCACCATCGATGAAGTACCATAAGCAAACGAAGGAAAACGATCAGATAGTATCCAACTAGTCAGAATTGAAGTTTTTAAAAATTGAATTTCAAAAACGTAGTAGTTACTTACTCCAGTTTTTCATGTTCTTTTATGATAAGCGATTCAAGGCGTTCAGTCTGATTGTGCAGCACACGAAATTCACGTAAATATTGATGTTTGTCATTCTTTACGGATGTCTCAAGCGGTTCCTGCGCTGAAATGTCTCCAAGTTCCACTGATAACAAATTATGTAATACGATTAACATTACATTTACAATTAAGCAATTATAAAACCAAAAGTAAATTAATAATTACAGGTACATCAAAGAAGTGCTTGTTACTAGAGCAATATATAGGAAATACCTACTTACCTTGAACTACAAGTGCAGCAAGTCGGACTAGGACATCAGTCTGTACAACTAATCTCCCACTTATTAAATCACGACGCAATTGATGATAGAGGAGGTAGCTGAAAGAGTAGGATAGAGACCAAAAATTATGTTTTATCCAAGAAAAATCTCTCTAACAAATAACCCTTCTTTAAGCAGAATAATTAACAAAACAGTCAACTACCGAACATCAACCTTTTTTAAATATATTACTACCATTGAAGTAACCACTATGAATTTGGTGTTCATTTTGTTGTGCTAATCAGGTATGATAACTTGGACTGAGGTATATGTGTGCCTGATTCTACATTGTAGATGACTGACTGACTAAACTAAATGAGAAAAAAGATTTGTGTAGAAAATGAGTTTAAATAGCTGATAGAATTGTTCAACAGAGAGAACTACCGATTCAAGACGTGAGAAATAACCATACACCTTTATAGCATGCAAATCAACTTATTACCTAAAACATGATTAAAGTCCCAGTTATAACGAAGATAATTAGATTTCTTTATCTCAATATAGAATAAAAAGATCAGTGAAAAGAATTCGGAATGTTGATAAGTATATCTAAAACCTTTAACTTTTTTTAACCTTACAGAGACAACAGTCAGTAACTTGCCTCGCTAAACATGACGAAAATATGGAAATACACTGGATTCCTAACAATTAACGAAGGCAGTATACAGCTCAATCAAGTACATAACAATGAATTTCAAAACCCTAAATGTTATTTAAATGAATCTTTCATTAAGTGAAATATACTACAGACAAATCGTTTATGCAACGTTCCGTCTCCTAGTCAAACATTATTCTTGACTAAATTATGCTAAACTGTCCTTCAGAAGTCTATCTAACTATAAACAATATTCACTTCAAACATTTTCAATTACCGATTACAGGAGATGCTTTACCTCTATAAACCTTGGGTTTAACTTCTTGCTAAATGAAAAAATCATTTATAAATAAACAGATAGATTACGTTGAGTCAAGAAAAAAAGCAATTGGAACTTAAGACATAAATAATCATTAAAGATAACCAATTTCTATAAAGCGAATCATAGACAATAATTCATAGGTATAACTCCCAAGGTTAAACTTGATAGTTTCAAACAAATTGAGCATTGGGTATAAAGTTAATAATAAATATGTTTTTACGACATCCCAATAAGTAGAAAATTATATTTCTGGCGTTTTGCGACTTAGTGTAAGTCACTTATTTACTTAGAGAACAAAACTACATCGAAATTTTGAACCATGTCATTCAAAGTCTCTAACCATTGGTTAAGATAATTACGTGGACCTTAACCAGTTAGTCTATACCTATTAACATGACTCAGTCCAATAACCAATGACTTTACTAACTGATGCCACATCTTTGTTTGGTCGCCCCTACCTTTCTTCCAACCTAATCCTACACCAGAAAACATGGTTGGGCATGCGTAAAACATATCCCAACCACCTCAGTTGATGGTTTACTACCTCGCCAATCGAGTTCCTATCTTTACCTATTACTCTATGCCTAACTTAGGTATTGCTTACCCCGTAGTCCCAAAATACACGAGCAATGCTTCGTAGACAACTATGATCGAATGCGATTAACCATTAAGTTAGACGATAAAAGTGTTGCCTCTAAAACCATGCCTGTGACAAAGTTTAGTAATGATAGGGAAAGTGGACAATTCTGATGAACGCCACCTGAAGAAACCAATTTTGATGAATGTTCGCCATAACCTTCTGAATCAACCAATAATAGTAGCACTTCACCAAGTTCAGCAAAATGAAGCGTAACCTGGTTACCAGAATCCATTACTAAGATTAAATTGAAGGTTTTGCGTGGAAAATTATTGCAACTCAGTCAAATTACTAGTAGCAAGAAACTTAGTACCAGTAAAACAATCTACGAACTTGATGAGCCGATTAACAATCTATAACGAACACCAACCTGCCCAAGGATGAATTTCAGAAAATGTTCGGTTAAAAAATCCATTTTAACGAAGGTCCTGAGTTTTTCATAGTGCGTCGGTAATTTTATAAATTAATGAGCTGTGTAATATAAATTTCCATTTGAAAAAATAAAAGAATTTGTTGAAAAGAGATGACACATTCGAAAGAAATATATATGTAAACTCACTGGGATTTAGGTAACCTCAAATCAACAATCGGGTCAGCTGGGTAATGCTTAACACGAAAGCTTACTTGACGAGGATAAGTGTCTGGAAAAAAAGAGAGTAGGTAGAAATGAAAGTAAAAGACAATATTAATAAGTACTTAGTTCTAGAACAATCCTTTAAATTATTCTGATTTAAAATGCTGCAGACTAAAAGTAAATCAAGTTACTTGGAATTACGTTGACCAAAATACTGTTATTTTAACACAGCTTGTGTTATTTAAAGCTTAGTCAGGAGTTTACAATAAAACACTCTCTCTCTCTAAGATCAGTAAGGACTCACTGAACCCATGAAGTTTGATAATCACACCCAAACAATTGTCCGAGTCAAACCAAGTCCGGCAAAAAAGGGTCGAGTGTCACTGACTTTAAATAAACCAATTACAACCATTATTATTATCTGTAGGTATCATTACCAAGGTTTGATTTGATAATTTCGAATAAATTGAGCATTGGGTTGATTGTTATAAATAAAAAATAGTATATTTGTAATATCCCAATGAGTAGAAAATTAGATTTTCTGACGTTTCGTGACTTAGTGTAAGCCACTTCTTCAGGAGTGGGATATTACAAATATATCATTTTTATTTTCATTATTATTATTATCATCACTTTTCTTTAACGTAACATAAAAAATAGATATTAAGGATTGGTAAATCAAGCTACAAGAATGTAAACAGTTACAAACTTCCTATTGTTGATCAGAGATTTATTACATTACATTTAACTTACGCTTGAGTTGTGATGACAAATTTTTCGTAAGGTCGATCCAACGCTGTAAATAAATTTGGATTTTTAAAATGTATCGAAATAGTTCGACGTACATAAAAGCAACATATGAAACTAATTAATGTTTAATCGTAAAAGCATTAATATTATGAGACTAAAATATTAAGATTCACTATTACCCAATGCTTCTCACTTAAATTTACTGGCTGTTTGATAAAACAGATTATTAAACTCCTTATTTAATAAGTAACTACCTACTGTGATATTATGTTTGAATAGCTAGTATGGAAATACGTTTCGCCTAAGATAACCAGTCGGTTGTTCAAGTGTTTAATTTTTTAAATCTAATAATTGATGACTTGGAGCCAAGTACTATGAGTGTTTATGTGTTGAACCACTTCGATCCTTCACTTCACTCCAGAAAACTGTATAAACATACTGAAGTGATCATGTGGTGTCACTATAGTTCATCAAATCAGATGGTATATAGTGTCTAGTTTCTAAATTGACTTTACTGTACTGTCTTCTGGCATGTAGCTTCCTAGGTACTGATATATAATACATGGGTCTCCGATAAACCTAAAATACAAGAAATGTATTCAACTTGTAGTTCGACAGAGATAATATTGAAATTTATGTATTTAGTCAAATAATGAAGGTGACAGTTATTGTACACTATGTTTAAAAGGGATCATGACGAGTTATTTCTAAATTACATCTAATCAGTTGCTTTACCTTTGTTGGAGACGAAAGCATTTCATGTTCCAGGTAACGAAGGCCGAAATATTCACGTTCCTGCATCACTCCTTGTTGACAACAGATTTCTTCAAAAAGCCATTTTCCAGAGGCATCTTCCTATAAAATAAAAGTGGAGGAAAACTTAGAGTAATGGGGATCTACCCATAGTTTATCTGATACTATAATTTTCAAAAGGACATATGCATCCACAAAAATTTATATTCAACATCGCACTTAATGGAATAAAAGTAGTGAGTTCGCGATGACATAGATATCTGAACCCTAATAAATGTGACGAAGCTCCAATAACTATGTGTCTCCTAACTATTGCTTCTATGACTAAAGCGTCTGGTTATAATTGGTAACCAGTCAAGTAAAAATGAATTTCATTATCGCTGTAAAACAACTGAACATCAGATACCAGACCACCCTATTCGTAACTGTCACATATTATACATGTTCTAAAACAAAACTATTTTCAGATACGGGCGTCAGTTGAATTAAATATGGAGTAACTTTCCAAAATTATAGGGCTTATTATCTCCCTAGGAGTTTTATATGCCAACGCTCGTAGTCTAAGAAATATATTCTATGAACTAGAAGCATTCGAGGACAAATTAAGACCACTCATTGTAGCTGTGACAGAAACTTGGTTAATCCATAACTTCAACATTATTCCAGAATTATCCGGATACTACTACCTAAGAAGTGATAGACATAGATATAGGAAACGAGGTGGCGTCCTTTTATACATAGCCAATAATATAAGTATCTGCTTCTCTGTTTGTGAATCAAATGACAGTGAAACTTGTGAAGTCATTAGCTGTGAGCTCACTCATTTATTTATTTATTTGAACGCATAAATATTGGTACAAAGAGGCACCGAACACATATGCGCCACACAAGTCACTTGATTCGTGTGTGGGCTGTGATACTGCCTGAGTGCCCAGACCGGAGCAGGTGGTTTTCTTAGGGGGCCACACCCGAAGCCCACAAAGCAGTGGAGCAACGTCAGAAGATCCAGTCCCATGGTAGATGGTGGCCAGTAATTGGTTCATACGTTATTTATTCCCTTAGGATCCTGGAGCCCATGTACACGATTGGATTAGAATCAGGGTTTTCCAACTCTTCTAAGTGAATCCTCCATATCCATCACTTTCGGTTGTGCATTTATACTCGGTGTCATTTTTCGCAGCCCAACCTGCTTAGCTGATGACTTTATTTTAGAGCACATCCAACCATGAGATGCAAATAACAGATGCTTGATGTTAGGAGAATTTAATGCACCTAATATTAATTGGACTGAGATGGCTTCTGTACGATCTACAAACTCCTTTGATGATAGGTTCATGATAACGGTAATGGAGCATGTATTAGTATAGCATATATCCAAACCCACACGTTTTGGTGCAAACAAAGGTTCTTCTCTGTTGGACGTAGTAATCACTCATGCGACTGAGGGTATTCCCAACCTAAATGTTCTTCCACCGTTAGCGAATAGCGATCACACTGTTTTGTCATTCACGTTTAGAGCTAGTGACATGATATACGATCAGGTTAAGTTTCACCCAAATGTATGGAGAGCAAACATATCAGCCATTCAGAAGTGCGCTGCTAAGACATCGGTCAATAGATACTAGCTCATCAGTAGAAGAAGCATAGTCTATATTTAAAGGCAAGTTTAGTTCAGTTACGTCGTCGTTCATACCTGGTACCACGTAGACCGAATAACAGTCCACCATGGATAAGTAAACAAGTCAAGAAACTTCTTAGACGCAGGAAAAAGCACTGGAATATGTTCATCTCTACTAGCTTAGAACGGTACAGATCCAGTTATTGTATGATTAGGAATGCCTGTAAAGCGTTAGTAAGTAAGACTAGACGGTCATATGAAAAACAATTGGTTAGGGATTGTAAATATAGTCCGAAACAGTTATTCTCGTATATAAAAAGGCAAACTCAGAGAAGCGATGGAATTCCATCACTTTTGATACAATAAAATCCGTTAATATTGGCAAGAAATGATACCGAAAAAGCCGAAGCTTTATCGGAATATTTCAGTAAAGTGTTTTCGATCAGTAATCAGGAACAACCAACGATTCATTGAGATTATGGCGGCTTGTTGATGGACCCTGTAGTTATTGAGAAAGGTACTGTCTTAAGACTACTTCAGCATCTCAAACCTGATAAGTCCAGTGGTCTAGATGATATTCATCCTAGGATTATGAAATCCGTATCAGATGTAATTGCTGAACCTTTAGCGATATTGTTTGATGTCTGTGATAGTCCAGACTGCCCATAGACTGGAAACACGCAATAATTAGTCCGGTGTATAAGGCTGGGAATAGAGATTCAGTTATTAACTATCGACGCGTTAGCTTAACTACTACAGTTGTAAAAGTACTGGAGAAGATTATCCAGATGGCTGTTATAAACTATGTGGAAGGGCAAAATCTTTTATCCAGGGAACAACATGGTTTTCGGAGAAGCTTATCATGTTTGACATATCTCATTGCAATAGAAGATTGGGCTGTGGAAAAAGATCGAAATATTCCTGTAGATGTGATCTTCATAGATCTAAGTAAGGCATTCGATGAGGTCTCTCATTCTGGTCCTAAATTAAAACTGGGAAGTTTTGGAGTCCATTTTACAGTCATAGACTGGATAAGTGACTTTCTCCATGGCAGTAGGCAAACAGTACGGGTAAATGGAGCTTTCTCACCATGGGAACCTGTAAAAACGGGATTTTCCCGAGACGCAATCCTCGGTCGTCTTCTCTTTTACTTCATGTAAATGGACTACCAACTGTAGCGAAATCATCCGTTCTACTCTTAGCCGATGACATAAAGCTTTCGAGACCCATACACAGCATGTCAGATAGAATAGTATTACAGGATGATCTCAGCTTATTGATGGCATGAATGGACAGATGGTCACTAGAAGTAATTCCTAACAAGAGTGTGGTGATGCAATTAAATAACTATGGTTGCTCATATCACTACACAATATGTGGATTCGTTTACCCAAAGTAAGAAACTATTAGGATTTAGGAGTCGTACTAAGAAGTGATCTCAAAGCTACCAGTCACTGTAAGGCTGCTGCTGCAAAAGGCTATAGAGCATTGTGGTCTATTCGTAGGTCTTTTCAGTATTTGAATGAAGAAATTTTCAGATTATTATACCCGACTTTCGTGCGCCCACATTTAAAATATGGGATTCAAGCAGTGAGTCCTTGTTTCAAGTACGAAGCGGATATGCTGGGGTGAGTCCGACGACGAGGGACAAAGATGGTAAAAGGTCTACCTGGTCTATCTTATGAAGATAAACTGAGACACCTTATTCCCGTTATCTTACCGTAGAACACGGGGTGATCTAACACTGGCTTATCGTATACTGAACGATGACCTTGGTATTAATGTCTTATTTTTTCCTTCCGTCAAGGACTGATCATTTGAGAGGACACTCAAAAAAGTTCAAAAACCGAAATCAAATCGTCTACGTTTGGAGTTTCGCTTCTTGAATCGAGTGGTGAATTACTGGATTTCTCTACCAGAACACGCAATATCAGCACCTTCTGTTGATATATATTCAAAACGAGATTGGATCTCGTGTTACAAACTGCAAGGATTAATATAGGTCGATAGACCTATCCTTATTACTGAAGACTGAAGATATACCTCAACTTGTAAAAGACATATGTAAATAACTTTTCAAAGTTAACAAAACTCTGAAACCTATGATGTCTACTTATCCTTGAATTATATACCAGTTACTAACAAACAGTGAGCAGTTAGATTTTGAATAAACGAGTGTTAGATCGAAAGTTGTTGAAAGTTAGATATCTTTTTTAACAAGTGTATGTGGATTTAAAACTATATATATGTGGTTCTCAGTGTGAATTTAACGAACCGGTGTGCACATAGTAAAAAGACTTAGATCTGAAGTTATGCACATATAAAAATGAGTAAAATCAAATCTTACCGGCACGTTTATTTCTTCCATTTTTTCGTCTTCTAATAGTCTCACCGAGACAACAAAGTATCCTTGTGACATTACTACTGTAAAGCAGAATATGCCGGAAGTGTAGAACGTAAAATTATGTTATTTAATCGTTCAGTAGCTAGTTTAGGAGGATAACTGTTAGATGTTGATCTAATTGTTTATCGATTTTCATACTCTTCCAAGTGTGTTAACATGAAAAGGTTGTGGAAATGTTGATGGTAATCATTTCAATAATTGAATGTGAAACTCACTGAATGTGATTTATCAAAAAACAATAAGGACAACTTCAGCAGAAATGTAGCGCACTATCGCATTAACGAACGCAAAAATGTACGAAGAACTCCAAGTTTAAGGTACGACGTACGATGTCCAACAACTTCATCTCGACTGTTCTGAACTACCTTTTAGATTTTAATTACTTGTATTTGTTCACTTGACCGCTCCTGTAATAATAAAAGACCTGAGTTTTAGCAATAAGAACCACTCTATGTCTTACAGATAATTTGGGTTTCAAGAGTTGGTTTATATAAATGTTTGTACTAGGTTTGACTCCTGATTAGATTTTACTCAACAAACTTGCTGCCTCGGAAAAGTAATTCAGCACGTAATTGACGTGGGGATCATTAAACAACTTAACAACTCCTCGGACTATCTATTTCACACTAAATCCAAAAATGATCTGGCACTTGATACGGATATTCAGATTTTGACAACGCCTTATCCGTAAACCTGAATGATGGAAGTGTGCCGAACACTCATATCAGAAGTCAGGAAACAACCACTTTAAACACCTACTTGGAAGGTTGCAGGTATGTTGAGGAGCGTTTGATTTAATCTGGCTAGTAGTTGCAAGGTATGTATGACCTACCCACTCGTGATCTGGCATGGATTAGCAACCAAGTGTCTTTAGCTAGAGTATGTCCAGTAAAACTAATGAGGCTAGCATCAATATTTAAAACCTACAGGAAAATTAATTTTGTAAATTTACATACAATTCCCCCTATTATGTGGTAGTGATGAGCCTAGAACGTGATCGGCTATAAATTTAAGGCCGATGAGCTTGCCGCTGATGATCACTTTTTCAAAAGCTTGTCATATGCAGCAGCATATTAAGTTATCATTACAATGAAGTCTGTATCACCGGTAACAATTAGACATTACCTGTAAACTGATATGCTTCACATGACATATTGTTATTTGTGAATACATATTATTACTAATATTAAAGGTTTCTGTTGAAACTTGAATATAAATTATTACTTCTGGAAAAATCAAGTACAGTTTTTTCAAAAGGTAATATTTAACCCAATATAAATATCAATAACAAAGGTTTTGAAAACGGCTTGTTACGACATTGTTTTTATTTCAAGAAGCGTGCTTCAATTCTGTGTGAAAAAGTAAGACATTTCTGGCAACCGAAAGGTTGGAGAAGAATAAATTAAATGTGTTTACGTGGAAGGCTTTTTACATAAGACCATAAAAATTTTTCCAGAGCAATTCTACCAATAATTGTCAGATATAACTCTACAAATACATCGCAGCCATCCAGCTAGTGTTTCTTCTTGCTTGAGGAAAATCCTTCTGAATCCAGCCATAAGCTACTGAGTTTCATAGTCGAATCCCGTCCGTGAACAACAGATCTCCGTCAATTTACTGTCTGCTGAAAATGTACTTGCTGACTGGTCAATGCTATCTTGTACCAACTTTAATACGTCAGAACATCGAGGTTCGACATCATCCTCTTCCATCCTATTGCTGACTTTCACACAAAAATGGATGAGGAGACTCATCTTAATTTTTTCTAATACTGACATCGAATTTACACAGCGAAAAATTATCCTAGAAGCTAGTCAAATATTTGACGTCATCCTTGATTTGACATTCCCTCACTTTTTTCACTTCACTCTTCGAACACTCAAATGTGGCCTACAAAAAATGCGAGCATGAATGTTTCTTGCTTCTTCACGACTCTGGTTGAGAGGTAAAAGACTGGAATATCTGGCAGCACTTACCGCAATACCCAATACACTGACGAGGCAGTTACGTTAATTTTGGTTCCTCACTTTAAACTTCCCCTGATAACATCATGTCTGTCTCCCACACAAAACTTTAATCTAACTGACAAACACGTGTGTACATGCTTTACGAGCGCCATTAATGCATTACCTAGACAAACTACAGGACCTATCTCGGCCAGTGTGACATAACACTCAAGTTCACTGTCAAACCCATCAATGCAACTATTATAGAAAAAATTGCGACTCTCCATACAGGCAGCCATACGAACACATTCCTTCGAAGATACGGGATTTGTAGCGAAGGCAGATAAGTACCGGTACTCAACCGTTCCAAAAATTACCGCTGATTCATATTAAAATTGAGATGAATAGTAAAATGGGTTAGTTAGGACAAACCAAGGCTTACGTCCGATTAGGGAATAAAGTTAGGTACAGATGAGACTAAAACAAATTAAACTGTTGTGTTTGCAGTGTGAGCGTCCATGTCATATTTACGTCGAGACTCCAAATTGTTTATTTTGTGACTTTCTAGGGTAACATACTATATATATACTTCTTGCACTTTACTATCATAATTTTTTTGACGTATGCTTCTAAGAAATGACATTCTCTGAAATATACATTATTCTACAAGAGAGCTTATTTGTAACGGTTCATTGGTTCTCGATTTTCAAACCAGTTAACCTTATGAACGCATCGCGCAATAATAAGACAGACTTTCTCAGACTGTTCTCTGATATTCTTTAACCCTGCCATGTATAACAGTAAGAATATCAGCTGTACTGTGCATGTAAAGACCGAAATTCCAACGTTTTGTGTCAACGCAGATCTTGATAGCAAAAATCAAAGTTAAGTTGATTATGTCAAACCACGTTTTTCTGCGTAGCTTATTTACTCTTTTTGAGCTACTAATATTAGACTACATAAGCTTCACTCGAAAAAAGTACGGAGAACTTACAACCAAAGTACAAAATACCTTAGGATCACAGTCTGTACCATATAGTCGAAGGTTAATCTAGCACAAATTTGGTTGAAAAGGGTCGATAAAAGACTGATAAGTTGTAATTGTATAGGTTCTAATCATATGATACTCAAAGCTGAACGTCAAATAATCGAGGAAATTCATGTCCAAAATTTAACACGGAGGGAAAGTCAGTAATTGTGAACGTAGATGTAAAAGATAGAAATGGCATCGCTCAAACACGCATGCGTGGTAACCTCTCGCAAATACTTGCTTTTAGTGCCAAATATATTACTCTCTTCTCAGCTTTAATATGTCCTTCAAAAGTGCTAGACGTCATATTGCTGATTTTCAGTGTACACTACGATGTGACTTCCACGTTAGATCTTGCAGAATTTGTGGTCATATAAAGACAAATCTACAATTTTGTGATTGGTTCTAGTAGTATAATAGCAAATATAAGTGTACCAATATCGAAGTAGACCATATTTTTACTAAGTACTCAATGATCAAAAAAGTGTTGCCAACAAAGCGGAATCACGTATCTATCCTCAAGGATTTGAACAACAATTTCTAGCAATCAAAATACAACAGAGATCTGTGATATTGAAGTTGTTCTCCTACGCTAACCACTCAGACTCATGTTTTTAATTCTATTCTGGATTAACTATTCTACCAAGACAAACTATAACATGCTAACTCAGACTTTTACATTAAGACTGTGTGGCAGGCATCTGATGAGGAAACAAATCACACAATACAAGACATAGTTATTAGATTTCTAAACACTTTACTCTATCTATACGCACTTTCTGTGCTAATAAACAGTCTTGCTCATTCCAAACCTGACTCTCCTTCCTTCATTTGAACTTACTCCACCTTGGTAAATATCACAACTTATTATTATTACTGCATTCTTTCAGTTGGAGACTCAGATCATATTTCACTCTAGCTATGTCGGCCTGCTTGAATATCTGGGCTACCTGTTTCTGCCATCTGATTATTTCAACAAGTTATCCGTTTTTTCATTTGTTTTAACGTATCATTATGTCCATTAATCGCATAACCTATTCAAGCGCTTTTATGAAAAGCCTACGACAAGTTACAAAAAAGTACAATAAAAGACATCGTGGTGGTTGGCAATATGCGCTAAAGAGAATGAAAATTAATCGTATGTCGATTCTCGAGCTGCTAAATTCTAACTGCCGACCACTAATTAACAAAGTGGACTATCTGCAATTCCTACCAAGTCAAAATATTTATCGAAATTGTGGTGTCATCACAATTCAAGAATCTTGGTTAAATGACTTACAGGACGACTGCCTAGTATCACTACGTGATTTCGATATTTATCATCACGATCGATCAAACAATAAAAAGGGGTGTGGCGGTGATGTAGCTACGTTTGTAAACGTGAACTGGTGTCGATCTTTGTTTGCTTGTTTCAAGTTTTCAGATGACTTTATCGACTGTCTAACTCTAAAACGTCGTCCAAAATATCTGAATAAATACAAATATGTTTATGTTACCAATATCTGCGTGACTCCAGACTGCACATCATCTGAGCTATCTGTTTTCGCTGATGATTTCACTGAGTTTGCTGTTACTGCCTTCAGTGATTCACTTTCAGTTGGATGTGGTGATTTCAATTCATGTTGCTGTAGCTTCCTTACGTCACTAGATCACCAAAATGTAGTGGATTTTCCTACCCGTTTGGATGCTCATTTAGACCTCATTTTCATTAATGATGTGGGTATATAAGCGACTCATAAACGTGCTCCATTGTCTAGCTCAGATCATTGTATAACTCGTGTTCTACCTAAAGTATATGGAATGCATGGGAAGAGTACACTCTTACATCAAACCAAGAAAGTCAAATATAGGAATTACTCAGAAGAAAATATCCGAAATCTGAAAAACATGTTTCATGCGACTAACTGGGAACTACTTACAGATGACTCACTGGACATCACTACTGATGTTATCACTTGTTATTTTAAATTCTGTTTTGATATTTGTTGTCTCATTGAAACAATTTTTTGTAAGTTTTGATCGACTTATATCTTCACAACTAAAACGACTACGGAGGGTGAAAAAAAGAATGTACAAGGAGAAAAACTCTAGTGAAGTTCGTAAGCTAAATGGTCTGATAAACCTAGAGATTAAACGTTTCAACTCTATGTTTACTCAAAAACTCTTGTCTTGCAAAAACTCTCCAAGTATGTGGAAACTCTTTAAAGAACTTACAGGTGACAGACATTTTAGAAGCGATAACCAGCTGAATGTTTGTGACTTAAATAAGTCTTTTGTACGTCAATCATCTGACGTGATGCTCCCTTTATCCACAGGTTTGAAGAATAGCTGTGTTCCTACTTTCACTGAAACTGATTCCCGAAGATGTTTCCAGGCACTTAATTCATCCCGACGTTTGGGACCTGATGGCATCACAAACCTCCTTTTTAAAAAATGTGCTGACGTTCTATGTTATCCGTTCACAGCTATCTTTAACAGATCCTTCTCATCTAATCTCATGCCGAAAATGTGGAGAAAGATGAAGATAATTCCTGTACCCAAGAAAGCATCTGGTGATAAGAATGTAAAATTTAGACTTATTGCAATAACTTCACTCTTCCTCAAAGCAATGGAAAAATTATAATTACTTTCACTTCAGCCTGCGATAAAAGAGCATATTGATCCGTATCAGTTTGCTTTCAGATGCAAAATAAGCACCTTAGATGCTGTTGCTGTTCTGCATCACAATATAATGTTCAACTTAGAAAAGGCTAAGAAGTATGTTCGATGCGCTTTTCTGGACTATACTTCAACTTATGATTCTATACGAGGACAACTTCTAATTAAAAAGTTAATCAGCGTCAACACTGACAGCTGGATAACCAACTGGCTATGTTCCTGCCTCTCTGGAAGGGAACAGTATACTGTATTTGGAGGAAGGCGTTCAGAGTCTCTACTGTCTGATGAGGGTGCACGACAAAGGGCCTTTCTTTCACCTCTTATTTTCTCTTTTTTTTCTGCATGATCTGCTATCTTCCACAGTAAACACTTTTGTGAAATATGCGAATGATCTCACTGTATGTATGCCTATCTCTTCCTCTTTACATCCCATAGAAATGAATGAGTTTTTGTCTTATATTGATTGGTGGTCTCTTGGTAATGGTCTCATACTTAATCCGTCTAAATGTCAAGCTGTTAACTTTAGCATGAGACATAAACGGCATCTAAACAGCATTTTGAGATCCCATAATGCTTGTACCATTGGGGACTCTTTGATAAACACAGTGTCGAAGGTCAATTTTATTGGTGTTACCTTTTCCTCTGATCTCTTTTGGTCTTCCCACGTTTTATTGTTATCAAAGAAGGTTTTCCGTCTGACTTACTACATAAAGAGATTGCATGCTCTTGGGATTACTCGTCATTTACTCTCACAATTTGTCAATTCTTGCATATTACCTATTATTCTTTACTGTTCTCCATTATTCTTTCCCGGGCTTTTGAGAAGAGACTTTGCTATATTGCGGAGAGTTCTGAAGGCAGTTAGCAAGATGTGTGATGAATCTTTCGAGGTCATAATTAATGTGGTTGTGGATAGACATCTGAAGTCTTGCAAACAGCTACTATCATTTTTACTTTCAGCTAGTCTGATCAGCCCATCCCAACACGGGTTCATGACTAAACGCTCATGTTTCACATCCCACCTGGAGTTTTTTGATCAAATTACCCAGAGAAGAGATGTTGGTCAGTCAGTGATAATTCTTTACTTCGATTTTAGTAAAGCTTTCGACAATGTCTCACACAAACTTCTTCTTTTAAAACTCTCTTCATTTGGCATACAGAATCCCCTTTTATCTTGGCTCAAATCTTTTTTAGAAGAACGTAGCCAAATCGTTCG